CCCTAATGTGATAGATAAGTATTCTGAAGGAAGGTTTGAAAACAAGGCAGTGGTGACCCAGGCAGCTTCAGAGGGCCTCAGTTCAAATGCTAAAGTGAAGAGGATGAAAACATCCCTGGCTCCTCATCCCACACCCCAGCTGTGCCTTTGACCACAACTGAAGGCCTGAAGTCACATCCTGTGTAACTCAATGGGAGCACTGCTTACAGAAGTGTTTCCTTGGGGCAGGTGTTCAGTATCAGTTAGTATATAACTCAGCAAAGTGGACTTTGACTGAGTGTTGTGAATATTTGATAACTTACAAATGAAAATATGTTAACTTCTCTTTTCCATAAAAATGTAGCTATAATCATGGAAATTAGAAATCACATACCAGTTTACTATAATCCTAACTACATTATTTTTTAATTTAAAAATTTTGAGAATTTTTTACATGAGTACACTGTATTTACACCATTTCTTCCCCTCTTTTTCTACCTTCTCCTTCTCCTTCTCCTCCTCCTCCTGTGCCTCCTCACCTGGAGGTCATGACCTGTTCTAGAATTATTGTTAGTTTTGTTTGAAACAAGGTCTCCCTGTGTACCATTGGTTGGCATTGAACTCGGTATGTAGATCAAGCTGGTCTTGAACTCACAGAGAACTGCCAGAGTGCTGGGAATAAAAGCATGTATCACCACTACACCTGACACTGTTGTTGTGTGTGTATAAAACAACCTACTGTTGTTGTTGTGTGTGTACACAATCTGCTAGGTCCAGTTAGTGTTGCCAGTATGCACATGTATTTAGGGCTGACCACTCAAGGTTGTATAACCCATCGGAGGGCTTGTCCCTGCAGAAAATATGTTTTCCTCTCAGCAGCCATTGACTGCCTTGTAGCTCCTGCAGGGGTGGAATGTCATAAAGCTTTCCCCATCTATATTGGCATGCTTAGGCAGCCGTATTGCGGAGATTTCATGGGCGCAGTCATGTCTAGAAGACAATCTCTTCCATCAAGTGTCCTGTTTCTCTGGCCCTTACAATCTTTCTACCTCTTCTTTTCTAATTTCCCCTCAGCCATCATCTTAGGGTTTCTATTTCTGTGATGAAACACCAACTAAAAAGCAAGTTGGGGAGGAAAAGCTTTATTTGGCTTAGGCTTCCACAGCACTGTTCATCCTAGGAAGCCAGGACAGGAACTCAAGCAGGGGCAGGAGCTGATGAAGAGGCCATTGGGGGACGCTGCTTACTGGCTTGCTCAGCCTACTTTCTTATAGAAGTCAGGACCACCAGCCCAGGGATGGCACCACCCATCATGGGCGGGTCCTCCCCCATCAATCACAAATTAAGGAAATTTATTTGTTCTTTCTTTCAGGCTTGCCTCCAGCCCATGTTATGGAGGCATTTTCTCCGCTGAGGCGTCCTCCTCTCTGAGGACTCCAGCTTATGTCAAGTTGACATAACTAGCCAGGATAGCTGTAGTGTAGGAACTCTGCTGACCGTGTACCAACTGGGGCCTGGCACGCCATGCTTCTTTATTCTCTGCATTTGACCATCTGCGGCTCTCTGTGGTAGCTTTCATCTGCTGCAGAAAGAAGCTTCTTTGATGAGGCTGAGAGCTGCACTTAGCTGCCTGGTACTGCTAACTCAAGACCTTTTAACTAAATCCCTGGCTGCTCTCCCCGCTTCCAATCCTTTCGGTTTATGTTTTCTAGGGAGTTTATTAGAGTTGAAGATTGCATTTAACATTTTTTTTTGTTTTTTTTTGGGGGGGTGTCTTGTTTTGTTTTGTTTTTGAGGTGGGGGGTCTCACTCTTAGCCTAGCCTGGCTTAGACTACATTGCTAGTACTGTGTAGTCCAAGCTAACCACAGTCCTGCTGTGACTCGCCTGCCTCAGCCTCCCAAATGCTGGATTATAGGCATTAGTCCATCCAGCCTGGCTGGGAATTTACTTTTGAATGGAAGGCAAACTCCAGGGCACTCTTAGAGAATATTTGTAAGTACAGAGGAGGAAGAGGAAGACCCTTTGAGTTGGATCACCTCCTTGGGCTGAGTTTTATGGGTTGCTGCGATACAGATAAAGCCCAGAGGCTGTTTCTTAAATAGGATGATTAGGGCCTTTATAACATTAAATGTAAGATGCAGAAGCCAACCTGAAGAGTTTGTATGGACAGGTGTAAACTAGACTATCCAGCCTCCATAAACCACTGAGACTTGCTCACTTATGCACTTATTCAGGGAAAATGAACAAAATAGTATATTTTCTTAGTTGATTATAGCATGTTGAATTTTCTCTCTAAATAAAATCATGATGGGTAGTTTTGATGCTTGCCTTTAATCCTAGCACTAGAGAAACAGAGGCAAGTGAATCTCTATGAGTTCGAGGCCAGCCTAGTGTTTAAAGTGAATTCCATGACAGCCAGGGCTACAAAGAAACCCTGTCTTGAAAAACCAGAAAAAAAAAAAGTAATTAAATCGTATTGATTGCCTATGAATCATCAAATTCAGATCTTATTTTCCTGGGAATGTCAACTTCTTGAACATTCATTCACTCATTTCTTCATAGAAGCCATTTGCTGTAACAGTCTGACCCTAGTTTTCAAAGGCTTGGCTTTATAACTAGAAATGGGTTAATTTTTTTTATGGGTTAATGTTTTATAGATTAATTATATAACCTTGATTCAATTTTCTAATTAATAGGTAGCTAGGCCAAGGCAAGAGGATTACAGATTATTTATTACTATATAAACAATGCTTTCAATAGATTTTATATCTATGTATACGTATATATATAGAGAGATATAGATATCTCGTGTGTGTGTGTGTGTGTGTGTGTGTGTGTGTGTGTGTGTGTGTGTGATAAAGTCTTGCTATGTAACCTAGACTGACTGAAAACTACGTAGCCTAGCATAACCTACAATTGTAATCCTCCTGTCTCAGCCTTCTGAGTGCTGAGATTATAGGCACGTACCACTTACTTGGCTATTATACTCAGGTTTTAAAACGGAGGTCACATAAAGCGTAGATTTCTAGAAGATATTAGGTAGCCCAGGTAGTGATCAAGTTAAGAATACTGTCCTTGCCATCATAGTGATGCATGTGCATCTCTGATCGTAGTGCTTGGAGTACAAATGCAGCAGGATCAGGAGTCTGAGGCCAGCCTGGCTGTATGGCAAGATTCTGTGTAAAGAAGAAAGCGGGGTAGGGCAGAGAGGTGGCTCAGTGGTTAAGAGCACTAGCTGCTCTTCCAGAGGACCCAGTTCCTATTCCCAGCACCCGCACTGGCTCATAACTGTCGGTAACTCCAGTTACAGGGAACCTGACACCCTCTTCCAGCCTCCATGGGTACCAGGCATGCACAGGGTGCACAAACATAAACATGCAGGCAAAACACTTACACATAAAATAAAAATAAATGCATCTTTTTTTTTTTTTTAAATTAAGATGCCCTTAAATGTAACTGAGTTAAAAGAATACTATGTAAATCCCTGTCAGAAACTAAAATCCATATCAAATTTAATGTGGCTTGTGGTGGATATATTTGTCAGACTCTGTTATTGTGAGAGAACATTGCCATGAACAAGGGAGGAAGGCTTTCTTTGTACTCACAATTGCAGAAGTTTGGGCCATCTAGACCTCGACGACGTGGAGAAGCAGGGCAGTTCACAGTATGGCAGTGAGGAGTGGAGACCTGAGGGTGGGGCTCAAGGGCCCAGTGCTGTGCTTCCTTTAGCTGGGTCCTCCCTCCTCAAGTGTCCAGAATCTCCTCAGTGGTGAGCGTTTCACATTCAGACCGGAAGAGTGAGGAAACGTGTCCTTGGCTCTATTGGCCGTACACTGCTATCCTTGTTATCGGCCATCCGATAAACAGCAAACCCTCCTCCGAGAATCTGAAATGTAAGAAATCACAGGGAGATGCTGCATTTGGTAAAGTGCTGGCCACACAGGGGAAGAGGACCTGAATTCTTATTCTTGGCACCCACACAGGAAAGCTGGGTGTGGTGGTCACACCTGTAATCCCATCCCTGTGGAGGCCTCTGCCCAGGAGGATCCATGGCACTTTTTGGCCAGCCAGTCTAGCCGGTTGATGAGCTCTAGGTTCAGACCGAATGTTAGTCTTAGAAAACACGGTGGAGAATGATAGCGGTAAATGCCCAGTGTATATAAGAGTGTACCAGCCCAATGGTGCACGCTTTCAATCCCAGCTCTCCGGAGGCGGAGGTAGGTGAATCTCTGTGAGTTCAAGGCTGGCCTAGTCTATGTAGGGAGTTTAGGACAGCCAGGGGTACACAGAGAAACCCTAAGAACAAATATATATATATGTATATATAGTTACATATATAATGATATATAGAATATATATAGTGTTTATATATAATGAGTGTGTATGTGTGTGTATAAATTATACATTTACCTCATACATCGAGAGAGTTTCAGCTCCATTGGCTATTCATGGGAGGTGAAGAACAATGGATTTTATAAGACCTTTATCCTAGATTTAAGTAGCATAGTATCTAGAATGTCTGAAAAATGTATTTTCTCAGCAAGATCCAAACTGGTTGAAAGATATTATGCCATTGGTAAGGTGGGGCATACTTGTAATCCCAATGAAAAAGTCAGGAAGGAAGTTCGGAGGCCAGTCTGCGCTACACAGTAGGGTCATTTCTCAAAAAAAAAAAAAAAAAAAGTAAAACATACAAATACAAAATATAGCGGGTTGGTGGCTCACAGTAAATTTTTAATATTTTTAAATATTATTAGATCAGTTTGTGTTTCAGTCTCAGACTGTTCTCCAATATGAAAGGATTACTGAGGGGAAATGGAAATAACACACAGATGATTTATTCATCTCATTTAGCTCAGACTGGCCTTGAATTTAGGATCACCCTGCCTCAGCCTCCCTAGTTTTCAGATTGCGGTCCTGTGCCACCATGCCAAGATTTTGATCTCTTAACATTACTCTTTTTTTTTTTTTAAAGTCATGAAAATGTACATTTATCATTTTCCCCTTTCTTTTTTACAGGAATACCAGTGTATTCAGTAGCATGGGGCCCTGATTCAGAAAAGGTTCTTTATACAGCAGGCAAACAGCTCATCATTAAGCCTCTTCAACCAAATGCTAAAGTTTTACAGGTATATCTCAGGCCTTTGTCAGCTGCTCTCTACCCCTGTGTCACTGCGAAGCTGGGTGGTCCTTGCAGTCCCTTCCTTCTGGTTGGTCCCCTGACATCTGAGAGCTTTGAGTTTGATTTTTATCAGACTTCATTACTGATCAGGGAATTCTGTTCATGTTTTCCAAATGGTTCACATTGCTCTAGTCAGTCACGCAGGTGTTTCGAGTTACCGAGTTGTCATGTGATTCAGCACAAGTGATCATCCGTCAGTCTACAGAGTCAGCTTCCAGTGTGTAGGTTTGAGATGAAAGAAAACTAAATGAAACTCTTAAGAGTGTTTAGGTTTTGTGTTTAATCATCATTATCATCTGTTCAAACATGTGTGCCCTCTCCAAGGCCAAGCACCGGTTTAGTATTTTTAGAAGGGTGGAGGAGTCGGTACGAGACTTAGAAGCAACTGTGTGCCTAGAACTTTCTGAAGAATGTAGAGCACACTTGGCATAAGGACAGATGTTGAGCTGACATTTGCTTGTGTGTTCTTCAGAAAGGAGGAATAGTTGTTAGAGCTAAGTCTTAAAGAATAGGTGGGAGGTGGTCCTAAACCCAGGGAGTAGAAACAACTGGTTATTCATAAATGCGAGGGTAATCCCAGCACTCGGGAGGCAGAGCCAGGCGGATCTCTGTGAGTTCGAGGCCAGCCTGGGCTACCAAGTGAGCTCCAGGAAAGGCGCAAAGCTACACAGAGAAACCCTGTCTCGAAAAAAAAAAAAAAAAAAAAAAAAAAACAAAAACAATAAATGCGAGGGAAAGGGGTAAACAGAATCACACAAAAGTGAACAAAACAACAATGGCTGTTAAGACAGGTTTGGCGGGGCCAAATGAAGGGCACACTTTTAAGCTAGTGTGCAAGAATTGTTTATTTATTCTACTACTGAAAGACAGAATGATTTCCCTTACGTTTTGACAAAGACATAGTGTAGTTTGTCTTTTGTCTTAGTTACTTTTCTGTTGCTGTGATGACACACCATGACGAAGGCAACTTTCAGTGTTTACCGATCTAGTTGGTGCTTGAGCCTTGGAGAGTAGGGGCCTAAAAATGAGGTGGACTCAAGTCTCATGGATTGGCCGACTTTGTTGAGAGCATGAGACAATTTATGCTCTGAAGGTTTAAAAGAGTCGCCCGAGTAAAGTCTACAACCACATGGACATGCCACATTTGGCAAAAACGTGTTTTTCCCTAGAAGCACATAAATAACAACAGCTGAAGTCAACTCCTACCCACTCCACCTGGAGGAGGGTAAAAACACATTCCAAGAACAACTCTGTTTTGGAGAAACTGAGGTAACTCTTGTCTTCTTTTCCTGGAATTTTCTCACAAGCACTCAAAATCTCACATGACTCCACTCTTGGCCTGTGTAACATTATAGAAACAGGGTTTTTTTGGGACTTAGGGTTTCAGAGGGTTACCATGTCTGTCATGGCGGGAAGCGTGGCAGCAGGCAGGGAAGCATGGCACTGGAGCCGTAGCTGGGAGCTCGTGTCCTGATGTGTAGGTAGGAGGCAGACGAAGAGACACTGGGAATGTTGTAAGTCCTTGGAAACCTCAAAGCTTTACTTCGGCGGCACTGCACCTCTTAATTCTTCCCAAACAGTTCCACCAAGTGGAGACCAGTTCAGACATATGGGCCTGTGGGGGCCATTCCCATTCATACTACCACATCCCACTCACTGGCCCCCATAGGCTCATGGTCATATCATAGTCCAACTTTAAAAGTCACCATAGCTCTTCACAGTCTCAGCACAGTTTGAAAGTTCAATGTACAAAGTCTCTTCTGAGACTCAAGGCACTCTTTTAACTATAACTCCTTGTAAAATAAAAAGGCAAATTACATACTCCAACATAGAGTGACACAGAATATACATTACTGTTCCAAAAGGGGCGAATGGGGGCATAGTGAGAAAATATTAGATGAACCAAAAAACCAAAATTGAAGCCAGCAGGGCACACTCCCACTCCTGCAGCTGCATGTCTGTCGTCCACACAGGCCCTGCCACATACCTGGCTGCAGCACCTCTCCTTAACCATAGAAGAAGTTTCCACCATTCTTCCCTCCTGTATCCCTCAGGACTCTGAAGGCAGACCCATGTGGACAGTACTGCCAAACCCGACTGCTCTCATTTACACTAGCACAGCGTTGGAGTGAGGCACGTGGTCAGGCCTTCACTTGCTTACCTCTGTGTGATGACAGAAAGTTTTAATCTCTTTCATCTCAGCCTTCTTATCTCTGACAGTAATACCCACTCACTGTGATTGGTTGTGACGGCTAGTGTCTGGTATGCGGTGAGCACTTGATACTGAATAGCTGTTACTGATGCTGTTGTGCCATTATGAATTAATATGCCTTCTTTCCCTTTTAATAATCTAGAGGGCTCAGAAAAAAAAAGATGTAAGGGGGGCTGGAGCGATGGCTCAGCCATTAAGAGCACTGGCTGCCCTTGTAGGGGACCCAGGTTAGATTCCCAGCATCCATATGGTTCACATCTGTTTGTAACTCCAGTTCCAGGGAGTCTGATGCCCTCTTCTGGCCTCCAGGCAGTCATGTGGTACCCAGCATACATTCAGGAAAGCACATATAAAATAATAAAATAAATTAAAAATTATTTTAAAAAAATTATAAAAAACTTGGTGATGGAGATTGACAGGCTGCATCAGGTATAAGAGTGTGTTAAGAAGTGTAAGTTCGGGGACTAGAAAGATGGCTCAGCTGTTAAGCACACTTACTGTTTTTGCAGAGGACCCTGGTTCTGTTCCCAGCACCCCCACACACCACAGGTAGCATCTGTCTACGTCTCCAGTTCTTGTGGATTCAATGCCTCCTCTGGCCTTTGTGGGTACTGCACACATGTAGTCCACATATGTCCATGCAGGCCATTGAACACATAAATTTAAAAAAAAAGCATCATTTTAGAAATTGGGTAAATGTAGATTTCAAGCAATAAAAGGGGTTAAGGAAACTTTGATGTTGTATATTGTAATTTCTGTATAGACAATGCATGTTATCTCTTGTCTATCTGTCTATTACTTATCTATTAATTATGACAATTATTAATCAAGAAAATAGCCCACAAGCCTACAGCCTACTCTTATAAAGGCTTCTGTATGGGCAACTCTTTTTTTGTTGTTTTTTTGGAGACAGGGTTTCTCTGTGTAGTTTTGGTGCCTGTCCTGGATCTCGCTCTGTAGACCAGACTGGCCTCGAACTCACAGAGATCTGAGGGCTACTCTTATAAAGGCATTTTCTCAATGCAGGCTCCCTCTTCTCTTTTAGCTTGTATTTAGCTGACAAAATACTAGCCAATAAATCTGCAATGAACTTAGACAGCAAAAGCAGGGACGTGAAATCTTTTCATTTATACCTTTGGTTTATATTCATGTGTGTTAAGACATCTGTAATTAGGTTTATATAAATGAAACTTGGAAGTTTTGTACATCATCATAAAATATACTTTAGAGCTTCTGTGTAAGCCAGAATAGAATAGAAAAGAAAATAAACCCATTATCACAATTCTGTGGAGCAAAAGAGGAGTTAGAGTATAATTAGAAATGTAATGCAAATTATCCATTCCTTTTGGGAATCTAAACTTGTAGCAAGTCTCCAGGAGTATAAGTGCATGCAAGTATAGATGGTCCATGAAAAGGAGTGCAGTTTAGAACTGTAAGCCACATTTCCTTAAGGCATTTCACACACTCAGAGTCCAGTTTATGTGAGGAAGCATATTTATTTGTTCAGTATAAATATACTACATGCCAGCTGTATGCCAGTATGTGGAGTATTGGATATTAAATAGCATCGAGCAGGACTTGTGGTGTATTCCAAAGTAGATCAGCATGTGTGAGGCCCTGGGTCTGACCACAGCATCACACACACAAGCAAGCAAACAAAACTTGTCCTCAGTTTATTTTATAAGAAAGAGAAACAGAAGATGTTTCCGCCATAAGGAACTTGTTGTTCAGATGGATCTTAAATTTAAAAAATGCCTAATTACATGAATGGTAATAGCAAATGGGAACATAAATTATATTTAACAGCAGTACGCCTATGCTTATTTTCTAGATTACCAGTTTCTGTGTGACATATATATCCATATATATGGATATACATTCTATATGTCTCTGGATATGTTTAAAAGCAAGAAAAACATGCTTGCTTTATAGATTGAAAGTTTCTGGGTAACTTGTATATGTCTGTCTATAGGCATTTTGTATGTATAGAATATATATTTATTACAGAAAACACTGTTTCATTATATAGTAAATCAACAGAGGATTTGTAATAAATCCAGTTGTGACCTAGACCCATAAAGAATAAAGCTTAGGAGATGTGCAGGAAAAAAGAGAGAGAGAGAATACTAAAGATGTTTATGTACTAGAGGTTGAAACAACAACAAAAAACCCCAGTCTGGCATATAGAGGCCCTAGGATCAGGTTCTAGTCCTCTCTCCTGCCCCCACCCCCAGGAAACAAAGAGGAGAGAGAATTTTGTAAGTAAGCATGAAGACAGTGTCACTGAGAGGACCAGCAGGACAAATGAGATTTGAAGTCAGCTGATGCCTTAGATTATATCACATTTATTCCAGCTTGTCATGCTAAAGTCAAGCTGGAAACAATGTAGCAGCAAGCAGTTTTGCCACTGGAGTCCAGGCAACTGAGCAAATTCCTGGGATGTAGGCTGTAAAGTGGATGGCGTGGTGCTAGGTGTTTTCTTTGGAAAGTGGACTGAATCGAGCAAATGAAGAACTAACTGCACAGTGGGTATTGAAGGAAGATCGGAAGCCATGAATGGATGGTAAGGGGAAAAAAGAAAAAAGAAAGCAGTGCACCAGAAAGAGGGGACAGGCTGAGCATGAGTGGTCGGCAGTCACCCCAGCCACTTAGCAGGGTGTGGGGGGATCGCTTGAGTCCAATAGTTTAGGCCAAGCTGTGCAACACAGTCAGACCCTCAGCTCTTAAAACACAAACAAAACAAAAAACAAAAAGGAAACAGACAACAATATTTTCTATAGAAAAAATTTCACTTCTAAAGTTGTAATATTTTTTTCCTCTTCACAGTGGAAAGCCCATGAAGGCATTATTTTAAAAGTCGATTGGAACTCAGTCAACGATCTTATTTTATCTGCTGGTGAAGACTGTAAGTATAAGGTATGCAGAAGTATAAGCTTCCTTTCCTGTTACTGGGGTACAGTAGTATCCTGGAAGAAGCAGCTTCAGGAGAGAAAGGGTCTGTTTGGCTTAGAGTTAGAGGTTACGTCATTGCAGGGAGGTCAGGGCAGGGCTTGAGCAGCTAGTCACGCCAGCAGTCAAGAGCCGAGAGAGGATGGATGCACATATGCTTGTATTCAGTTCTTTCTTCAGCTCTTACAGAGTCCAGGAAGTCATGCTACCCACAGTGGGTGGGTCTTCCCACTTCATTTCACATGAGACATCCCCAGGCCAACCTGCTAGACAGCCCATTACTGAGGATCTCTTCTCACATGATTCTGTACTATGTTCAAGTTGACAACTAAAACTGACCACGATAATATATTATGTTTAGACTTACTGTCGGCTTAAGAGAATAAAATTTAGGGGAAAAGTATTCAGCATATAAGACTAATCTTTTAGTTTTTTCTTTTTCGTAATAATTGAGAAAATTGGTTTCCAACTTTAAGTGCTATTTAAAGTTCTTTGTTTTTGTTTGTTTATTTATTTTTTGAGACAGGGTTTCTCTGTGTAGTTTTGGTGCCTGTCCTGGATCTTGCTCTGTAGACCAAGTTGGCCTCAAACTCATAGAGATCCGCCTGGCTAAGCCTCTCGAGTGCTGGGATTAAAGGCATGTGTCACCACCGCCCAGCCTAAAGTTCTTATAATAAAATTTTTATTTAATAAGCAGCAATATCAATTCAGCTTCTTTTGCTTCATGCTTTAAATTAGTTCATTTCCTTATTCATTTACATTTTTAGAGCTCAGTTCTAGAAGCTTCCTAAATATTGGTCCATTACAGAGCAAAATCATTTGTGGTTGCTAAAATGTTTCCCCTTGTCTGCAGTACTGAGACCATTGATACGCTAGATAAAAGTTACTCATGTTGAGGTATACTCTAGCTCCAACAGTACAATTCAGTGTAACTGTAATTTCAGGGGCTTTAACTGAAATAAACTATTACAGAAAGTCAGTAGAAATCTCATTTGGCAAAAAGAAATTCTCGGAAAGGCCAACCATCACCAGATTTTACTACTCAATTTAAAGTACTTAAAATGGGTAGATATCATGTTTAATCCAGGTTAGTAATGTTGTGAAATTTTCCTTTCTGAGGCATGTACATTTCCAGAATTGCTGCTTTGTCCTCCTTGTATGATGGTTAAGTTTCTAGTTGCTAATGCTGCACGATTATGATTTCTCATCTTCACTTGATATTTTATTGGAGGACAAACTTTCTTGTAGTAATGTGGTGATATTATAAAACATTGAAAAGTTTTTGATTTTGTAGGTGTGGGATAGTTATGGTCGCGTGCTGTACAGTTCTCAGCCTCACGAGCACCCTATTACCTCAGTCGCCTGGGCTCCGGATGGCGAGTTGTTTGCTGTTGGTTCCTTTCATACTTTACGCTTGTGTGATAAAACCGGGGTAAGTTGCAGGGATGAGCACTCACAGATGTGCTGCCATAGAGGTGGCAATGTACCACACCCAGCGCTCACACTGTGAGAAATGTTTTCAATGAAAGCATTTGACTTAACCTCTCTTATTTGTCTTAGTAAGGTGGTTCAGTCAATTCCTGATTGTGAGATTAAATGGTTTACAATTGAAGAGTGGACATATTCTCTATTATTTATCTTTTGGGAAATACTTGTTTTGAGCATGACTCTGAAGGATGGTAAAACAGTGTGAGTGTTCACCTTTATTCCCCCTTAGTGTGGAGAGGACAGCTTTAAGTTTATTTGTGGTATCAACATGCTTCATTAAAATTTTTAGTTGCATATTTTTTGTAGGAATTAATAGTAAATTTAAAAGTTGATTTTAGTGCTAGGTATGATGGCGTATGCCCTTAATCCAGTACTGGAAGGCAGAGGCAGGCAGATCTCTGTGAGTTTGTGTCCAGCTGGTCTACACAGGAAGTTCTAGGCTAGTCAGGAACAGTGAGGCCCTGTTTCAAAAAGTAAGCAAACAAACAGACAAATCTCTAAAAGTCCCCAAAGGGTATTTCTTTCTTTCTTTCTTTCTTTCTTTCTTTCTTTCTTTCTTTCTTTCTTTCTTTCTTTCTTTCTTT